AGAGTGCCCCGCACATTGCCCTCCCATCCGCATGCCCGTGTGGTTCAGGTGGTAGAATCTATGCTAGTGAGTGCGAGGACTCCTTTAAAGCAACCAAAGACATTCTTTCTACTTATTCTGTCCTACGTGCTCCCAACTTTGAAAAATCTTTCACTATCACTGTAGGCGCTAGAAATGTTGGAGCCGTGTTGCTCCAGGAAGAAGAAACAAGCATTCTGCACCCGGTGTGTTATTTTAGCTGGAAGTTTAACTTGGCCTAATGTAACTACTCTGTCATTGAGAAGCTGCTTTCTCTAATACTATCATTTCAGCACTTTGGAGTGTACCTGCAATCCAGCCCTGGTCCCAGAGTGATTTAAACTGATCATCCCCTGAAGTTTCTCCGTAAGTTTAGGGATAAGAACCAGGGACTGACCAGGTGGGGTCTACTGCTGCAGGAGTATGATCTGGATATCCGGCACATTAAAGGTGTGAATAATGTGTTGGCTGATTGTTTGTCAAGTGCTTGATTTTCTCAGAATGCTCTTCTGTTGTATTCTCCCTTAGCAGCAGAAATGTGAAGTGACTGGACCTCTTGATGGGATGGACAAGGACGCTCCAGGGACCTACCTACCGTCTGTCGTAACCAAGTGCTGAAATTATTACTGATGGAATGGATGTACCGACTGCTCTGGGTCATGTGTGGACAAATTGCTGTGTGGACCTGCACCTGTCAAGACTCTGCACCATCTCTTGCTGTAGGAATCGACTCTGAATGCTCCTCTGTCATATTCTTCCCTAGCGGTGGAGGGGTGACATGACGTTGAGTCCCAGGAGTAGAAACCAGCAATTAGAAACTACCACAACAAACCGTAGCTAGACCACGTGGGCATGGAATGTGAGAAGCAGGCTGAAATGTCAGGGGTGACGTTTCATGGCACGTGGGCATGGAACGTGAGAAGCCGGCTGAAAGGTCAGGGGGTGACGTTTCATGGCGACACTGGAAAACCGATGCCTAATTGGTTGTAGATTCCCACCAAAATGTGACGTGGTGACCATAGTACAACCCCCAAAAAGGTTCCTGCCTCTCCCCTACTCCTCCCCATGCCTGCCACTCCTATTGTAAAATGTTTTACTTTGTTTTTTATTTATTAATTAATAAAGATGTGTTTACTATAATAATTTGTGCTTAATGTGTTTAATATTTTATATTAACCATGATAAAACATACACCATAAGAGGCTCATCATTGGTGAAAGGGGAGTGCCAGCCTCCCTCCAACTCAGTGTCTCACACAAAAGACTGTAAACTAGATGTGTATGATGTGGTGTTGGGGTATTATTTAATGAAGAATAAATAAACAATATTGTAATGTTAATGACAGTACAGTAGTTTGGTGAATAGCAGTGACAACTGTGGTACGCTACTATTCATCAAATGCCTGTCATTGACGATACAATATTGTTTATTTATTTATTAATACCACATCATCACACCCAGACACCCCCATATGTATGACATAAATTTATGCGTGGTTAACTATGTGGAGGTGAATTAAAAGATCAACTCTTGAGGAGCTTAGCAACACTGGTGCATGTTACCACTCCATCTCTCTAATGACCCACACCTTCCTGCTTTCTCTCCATATTTTAAAATGTTATGTAACGTAATGTTGAAGGGATACAACGTGATAAGTGTAAGTATAAAAAATACTGTATTTTAGCTTTCATGTTTATTCAAGACATCTTCAGGTCCTGAGACCTTATAATCCCCCACCCAACAGTGGGGGACCTGACATTGTATCAGAAGGTCAGTAATATGAGACCACCAATACCCCACCCTACCTCTACCTGACATTGTGTCAGGTCAGGTCAGTTATGTGAGATCCACTAATCCCCCACAGCTCCATGGGAGTGGAAAATACCAGTCCTTGCTGTAACACACAGCTTCATTCACGACCATATCATATAGATATTTAGTTTAGACTCTTGGAAAACTCCCCAGCACACAGAAACATTCTGAGGATGTGGGCTAGTATTTGTCTGTGCAAGATGCATAGTTTAGACACAGAATTTTTTTTCCAGTAAATGGAAATATTTCCGGGGATGGGGGATTTTTTCGGGTTTCAAAAAGACGTCTTGTTACCCGGAAATCTTTTATCCCCGGAAGTGCTCTGCACCAATTGTTCCAGCTAACGGGGATATATACGTAATTTAAAAAAAAAAAATTTCTTTACTCTGTTACATGCACATAATCTTTTATACAGAATGTGAAAAAAATAAATAAAAATAAAAATTATCATGCAGTCAAAAAAACAAAGGGATTAAACATTTATTACGTGTGTGGGAGCTAGCACAAGAGACCGAGGGGGAGGCGTTCACTCGCAGCTATGCTGTCTCGTGTTAGTGACAAGACTGCCAAATGGCAATGCAATGTTTTTTTCATTTCCTTTATTAATTATTATTATTATTTCTATATATTCTTTACATTTACTAGTGCAGTACAGACGCTCCTCAAAAGTGCAGTACAGACGCTCCTCAACTTAAGAACATTGGGCTTAACAAACTTTCAGATACAGTACAAACATCATCACTGAAGGGGTTACTTTCCAGAGCAAGTGTTTAATGTGGATGACACTGGATTATTTTCAGTGGTGGGCATAGCTAAACGAAGTTAGCTTCGCTATCTGCTAACTAAAAAGTTAACTTCGCTAACGCTAAACCGCTAAAAAAATTAGCGGAAGCTAACGCTAACCGCCAACCTTTATTATATGAATTTAACTTCGCTTTTTTTGGGGGGGGGGGCTCTAAAACCCTTAAAAACTGACCTAGAGAGCTTAAATTTTCATATGTTGTCTTGTAGCTTAGACATAGAGCTTTCCAAAAAGGTATAGCATGCCAAGATCAGATGATGATCAAGGTGTACACAAATAATTAAATGAACAAATGAAATTAAACATTAGTTTACATTCAAGTTTCAACATACACTTTATAATCGTTATTTACTGTACGAAAAGACAGAAAGTATTAAACAAATCCAAAAACTATAGTATTGTATAGGCCTAGCATAGGTAGCAAATAGCATCATGCCAAGATCAGATGATGATCAACTTATCAAGGTGTACACTGTACACAATTTCACAAATAATTAATTTGCATTCTCATACAACCTATTGGCCTTCTTCATTATTCATGTAAATATGCAATACCAACCACATACACATTATACCAGTGCATTTTTATATAACTTATTGTTGGTCTTAGTCATGTAAATAAACAGAAAACTCTAAACTTAAATGAAAAGTAAGTTTTTATAAAATTTTGTTTGGCACACACCTTGGATGACATCCTGGTTATGAACTTATGCAGTACTTAGCATAACCAAATATATTGACGCAAAAAAATCCTAATTAAATTAACAAATAAATGAGAAATGAAATTATACATTAGTTTACAATTACATTCTATGATTCTTTCAACATACACTGACAGTCTTTATTTACTGTAAAAAAAAGTATTAAACTTTAATGATCGAAAAATTCCATTCGCGCAGCTGCTGCAGCGAGGCGTCGACAAATCATGTCTTGTCACGTTTTCACGTAAACACGCAGTCAGCCAAGCGTGCCTGACTGGCTGTTGGAGACTTGCGTCGCGGCGTCACACGCTCACAACAGACAGAAACAAACATGTATAAATTTTGTTAGCGGACTTAAAGTTAGCAGAACTAAATTTAGCGGAAGCTAATTGGTCCGCCAATGGTTTCCAAAGTTAGCAAAAATGCTAATCTGCTAACGAGAAAGTTTGCTTCGCTAATTAGCGGTGAGCGGAACCATGCCCACCACTGATTATTTTGAAGAAAATTCCAGACAGAACAAACATTACCTAAAAGTGAGCCAGGTTTCAAGGCTGTATTGTAGGGTACTGTATAGCTGTACAGGCATCCCCCGCGTTATGGAAGGGTTCCGTTCCCGGAAAATTGACCGTATCGCGAAATTCCGTAACGCGAAACCTATTTTCCCGTTGACTTCCATTATAAAACTGGAGATGCGTTCCTAAGGAATTTTTTCGGCCCCAAAAAAGTAATTCAAGCACTTTTATTAATGAAAATAAACATTTATAAACACATACAATACAGAACATTAAATAATTTATGATATACCTTCTAAAAACACCAATTTAGGGGTTAATATTGCATAATATTGCATTATACAGCTATGTGTATGTTTATTTGAGTGCCCCGTCATAGGAGTCCGTTTTCTCTCACTTCAGGACGCCTGAGTCGTCCGTTTTCTCTTAATCTTAGAGTGCACCAGAGACTGTTATATCTTAGTAGTGACACAGAATTTGATATTGCAACTGAGGTTGCAATTGTTGAGGCAACTTAGGTATGTCTGATTACAGTTGGAATATTCAAGATCCATTGTGAGTGATGTTTAAAGCTTCAACTGTCTTTATGGTTGGTAAAACTTGTCAAGTCTGTCAGTCTGAATGGCATGTGTGAGGCCTTGTGTTTGTACAACCGCTAATTATATAAATATATAATGTTATGGTAATTATCAGAAACACACATAGGCATGACAAGGTTTATTACAAAGTGATGAAAAGGATACTGTACAGTGGGTATTCCACAAAACATGTAGCCATGTCTCTTTATTTGAGTGCCCCGTCATAGGAGTCCGTTTTCTCTCACTTCAGGACGCCTGAGTTGTCCGTTTTCTCTTAATCTTAAGAGTGCACCAGAGACTATTATTTTTTAGTAGTGATACAGAATTTGATATTGCAACTGGGGTTGCAATTGCTGAGGCAACTTAGGTATGTCTGATTACAGTTGGAATATTCATGATCCATTGTGAGTGATGTTTAAAGCTTCAACTGTCTTTATGGTTGGTAAAACTTGTCAAGTCTGTCAGTCTGAATGGCATGTGTGAGGCCTTGTGTTTGTTAAAATTTACCCCAATTTCCGTAAGGGCGGATTTACGGGCCGTAACGCGAAATTATTGGTCATAATTTACAAATTCCGTAAGAGCGAAATTCCATAACCCGGGCTTCCGTAAAGCGGGGGATGCCTGTACTAAACACACATTATCTTTTATTTTTTGCAATATGTTTGGTGTCTACAGGAGTAAAGTTGGACTTACAAAAACAATTGTACTTTAGAACAAGCCTCAGGACATAACTCGTTTGTAAGTAAAGGAGCACCTGTATATATTATTATGTACAAAGAATAGCTTCTTCCACACACAAGCCATCCTCTGGGCTATGTGACACGTTCAACTGTTTAGCCTGGCAGAACCTCCCACGTGGGCTGCATGTGTTACACCATTCTGATATAGTGTCATGATATCTCAGAATATTGTGAGTCATTGCTCATCACTTTTTCATAGCAGTGACAGTGTAGGAAAAGCATCAGGGTAGTGAACATCATAAAACTGATCTTTAACCATCACATAGTGGTAAATGGTGGTAATATTTTACATCATAAAACTGACTGAGCACATATTGATCCATTGTAAAACGGTCATTGCCTGTACACACTTTTAAAAAATTTGCTTGGTTAGGATATTATTTCAGTATAAAATGAAAATTAATTAACCTAAAACAATGAAAATCATCATTTAGGAAACTTATACAGGGTGTCCCATAAGTTTCCATACAACGTATCACCAACGCCATTACAAGCATAACTCCAGCTGTGCTTGAATGTGTTCTTCAGCAGTGGAGGACACGCATTGAAGAGTGTTTTCAACAGAATGGTAGTCACGTAGAGCATATTATATAAATAAAAATGGATTTTCATATAAAATTTATTTTTCCTATGTATGGAAATTTATGGGACACCCTTTATAATGACACCTCCATTAATGCACTCTCCTCCACATATACAGTTGTCCAAGAGATGAGGGTTTAACATCTAACAGACTTAGATATAACAGACTTTCATCTCTATACAGTAGTATGTTAGATGGGGGTTTCACTGTAAATGTATTTGACTGAAGAATATTTCTACATCTATGGACTCTGGTCGTCCATCACCATGTCCTCGATGATGAGAGCTGATGACTGGCTCTCAGTGTGGCTTAGAGAGTCTCCCCCAATGTCTGACGAGTGCATCACCGGCTGACCTGCAACACACACACACACGATTATATAACTCATACCAGTGAATAATACGGCCATAACTCACACCGCATCACACCGATTTAAATAACACTTAGGTACACACACTTAAATTACCTCCAACACATTTTCAATACAAAATTAATATATATATATATATATATATATATATATATATATATATATATATATATATATATATATATATATATATATATATATATATATATATATATATATATATATATATATATTGTAGTACCCCGCTTAACGCGGTCAATAAAACCCACAGGGTACCGTGTTAAGTGAAAACTGCGCTAAGTGAACAACAGAACATATGGGATTAATTCCAATAGAAACTGGCCCGATCCCCAAACTCCACTTTTTCCTACACAATACCTATGTTCTAGTAAAAATAACATCTTAATTTTATGATGGTACATGCACACAATTAATACTTAAGAGAAATAGAGAAATACAGTCGCCAAGTTAATGTCCATTCAAATAATGGACTCAACTCCCTCCCCCTCTTCTCACACTACACTGCTGGCTCTTCCCTCTGAGAAATTTTTTGGGGAAACCACTAAATTTTAATAAATAATACCTCAAACTAAAGTTAGGATAATACAATTGACATTGCTGGATTCCTTGTAAGACCAGGAATATTTTGAATATAAATGTCATATATTTTGCACAAAAGATAACATATTTACTCAGAGTAAACATTATATCTAAAATTTGTATGTCTAATGCAAAATCTATGATGTTTATATTCAAAATAATCACCAAATTGTAAGAATTCCAGCAATATAAATTATATTCTGGCTGGGTAATTTGTATGAATTTTATGAGCTAAAACAAATATCTTCAGTTAATAAAAAAAAAAATATTCTTCACGACACTCTCTGTCAATCAAAGTACCCCACCTTGCCTCCCCCCTCTTCCAACCGGGCCAGATGGTCGGTCAGTCCCAACCCTCCCCCCCACCCCCCCTCCAATGCTCCCTTCAAGAGATGTTGGGTGAAAAAACTAAATTTTAACATTTAGTATTAAATAATACCTCAGATTAAAGTTTGGATAATATAATTGACATTGCTGGATTCCTGTAAGACCAGGAATATTTTGAATATAAATGTCATATATTTTTGCACAAAAAGATAACATATTTACTCAGAGAAAACTGTATATCTAAAATTTTTATGTCTAATGCAAAATCTATGATGTTTATATTTAAAATGATCATCAAATGTAAATTCAGCAATGTAAATTATATTCTGACTGGTAATTTGTATGAATTTTATGAGCTAAAAAAAATATCTTCAGTTAATAAAAAAAAAAATATTCTTCACAGTAACAGATGGTCGGTGGGTCCTCCCTCCCCCCACCCCCTCCAACCCTCCTACCAGATGTGTGGGAAAACCAGAATATTTACCTTTTTAGTAATAAATAATACCTCAAACTGGTTAGGATAATATAATTGACATTGCTGGATTCCTTGTAAGACTAGGGAATATTTTGAATACAAATGTCATATTTTGCAAAAAAAACATATTTACTCAGAGGAAACATTATATCTAAAATTTGTATGTCCAATGCAAAATCTATGATGTTTATATTCAAAATGATCATCATATTGTAAGAATTCCAGCAATGTAAATTATATTCTGTGGGTAATTTGTATGAATTTTATGAGCTAAAACAGGCAGGCAGGCAGGGTGGCAGGTGGGGTGAATCTAAAATAGGCGTCTGGAGCCGGACACTCTCGGCGTATCGTGGAAAAACCCGCGTTAGTGAAAGTTCGGCTTTGGCGAGGCACGGCGATCGTGAAATCGCTAAGTGAAACACCGTGTTAGCGGGTATTACTTATATATACAGTATATATATATATATTTTTTTATTTTATTTTTTAGCAGAATAGACCGCCGGGCAAGGTCATCGACCCTAGCGGAGTGGGGAGGGAAAGGGATAAGAGTAAAAATAAATTAATACTAAAAAATATAAAAGATATATTAATCTACACATAAAAGATGCTGGAAAACCAGGTTTTGAAGTGAGACAGATTGTATGAGTATGGAAACACAGAGGAAGGCAGAGCATTCCACAGTTTGGCTGTGTGAGGAAAGAAGGAGGTACTATAACGGTATTCTAGTGCGACCGACATCCACAGAGAAACAGTGGGCACCGCAGGGAAGACGAGTGTTACGAGTCCATGGCCTTGCGATTGGTACACAGGATGCCAAATCCACCAAACTTTGCCCGTTAAAGTACCTGTAAAAGAAAAAGAGTGACGCAACATTGTGGCAAAGAGAAAGGTTCCTGGGAGGGGTAACATGCAGGCGATGTCGAGCCAGGTGGACCTTGATGGGCGCCGAATCTGAGATGAAGTTCATATGACACTGACAACTCACCCAAACTTACACATACCCTGTACATACAGTAGGTGGCTTTGGCTTTGTACGTACAGATAAACTGACGCCACAAAGAGGGTGCTCCAAGACCTCCTCCAGTGAGCTACCTTGTGGTGGTCAGCCCTGAGTAGGAGGACACACACACAACAAGAGAAGCACCACCACCTACCTATACTTGAGCCTAACAGGTTGGTGTCACTCAAGGGGTCTTCAGCAGAGGCAGGGGTGATGTCGCTGGTGTTGGTGTCAGTACCCACGAGCTCTGATGGCAGGTCCAACTGTGGTACATTATCATCCCCCTGTCAACACACATACATTATCACCACCTGTCAACACATATACATTATCACCACCTGTCAACACACATACATTATCACCACCTGTCAACACACATACATTATCACCACCTGTCAACACATATACATATCACCACCTGTCAACACATATACATCATCATCCATTTATTTTATTATATCTGTTTCACATCTAATGAACCTCGATATAAGGAACTGGACTCCCCTTTAGTGCGTTATATGGAGGTGTTGCTGTAATAAAGGAAAACAGCGCCTCACCCTGAAAAGCCGGGGTCTGTGCCTGCTGCTCCATGACTGTGGTGAGGAGAGTGGTGGCGGTGGTGTCGTCCCGGTGTAGGGAGAGAGCCTTGTGAAGGGACACTACCGCCATCGTAGTCACCCAACAGGGACTGTACCAGACCCAACGCCGAGTAAGTTGACGATACACCTGGGCACAACCTCAATGCCTGAAATTATTAACATGAACTGTATCATTAATCACTAACACACACATTCTCTGCAGCTGCTGAGACACAACTGACTGCCGAGCCAGTTGTCACAGTAAGTAATGCACTACAGTTGGTGACAAGACTAAATGTAAACAAACTTTTATCAGTAGAAGCTGCCTAGGAATATGAATAACATACTAATTTTTAAGAGTTGCCCCAGTAAACTCTTCAGTGACCCACAAGTTAGCTGAAGATCACTCACTCCCTCTGAAGACCATCACTCAGAATGAGAGAACATATGCCACACAGTCCAATACAGATCACACCCCAGTAACTACATTAAGTTGGATTAGGTTAGGTTGAGTTGGGTTGGGTTGAAATGATTGGGGTTGGGTTGGATTGGGTGGCTGGAGTGATTGGGCCTGATTAGGTATACTGGCCAAATGAGGTGTGATCTGTGCAAAACAAAGAATTTTGTTGCAACAGTGATGACTCATTATACACCTCCATGTCTCAGGGCAAACTGTACAGTATTATCTCTCATTCACAGCGATGACTGACAGAGGAGAGAGAAGAACCTTTGTTTATCGCTGGTCGTATAGAGACAAGAGGTCTCCTGGTGCTATGAAATCTCATCACATACACCTTCAATCGTCAGTCCAAACCTGTAGAAAGATATAAAATTTTTCACAGACACAAGTTACACATCACAACGATAACTCTTTTACAGAACCTTAAAAAGCAAGAGTCACATACCTGTTGGTGAAAGTGTAGAGACTCTTATTACTTCTGCAGCTTCGCAGGTGTGTGAGATTATTCAAGAGGGCGGACCACTTCTCAGGCACCACTACTACACCGCTCTCCTCCACTAACACCACAGCCCGCCGTAGGTACACTTCCGGCGTATACCTGATGGACGCCAGACGTAACATAGTGGCATATTCTTCCATCTATATTTATCTTCCTCTCTACTATAAAAGGTTCACTCTTCCTTAATATGTGAAGAAGGAACTCAATCACCTCTCATAGGCATAAGACACATATATAGGGTGTGGCATAAATTGTTTACGATGATAGTTATTTACATGTCTGGCCACACAGATTTGGCAACATTGATACACTGGATATAGTGGTGAGTTGAGCAGCTTTTGTTTTACTAGAAAATCAACTCACTACGTACAGGTAAACCTTGATAAACAACGGGGTTAGGTTCCTGATAAACCCATCACTCAGTGAAGTATTGTAGATCAAGAACATTATAACATGGGGTTCAATGGGATACATTCCCAGCCAGTACCCAAACACACATGTATCACCGACCAAACAATTCCAACAATACTGTACTACTATCAGTACAACACAATTAAACAACACTCACTACATCCTGAGGAATAAGTCTGGTCATTATCACATGTCCCCTTCAAGGCTAAGAGGACTCTTGTAGGTGGAGTGGAGACGTCACACAGCCTCTGGGGAGTCTCATGCTGCTTAACAGTGTCAAGCTTCACCTCAGAGACACAGTTGTCTTGGATGCCCTGGCCTTCCCAGACATTTTCAAGGTTACACTGCTCACTTCACACTCACAAAAACAGAGCAAAGGCACTTGTCACAAAAACAGAGCAAAGGCACTTGTCACAAAAACAGAGCAAATGCACTTGTCACAAAAACAGAACAAAAGCACTTGTCACAAAAACAGTGAGCGATGATGACAAAACACCTGCTCACATGTTCAAAACAACAGAGTCGACGCACTTTACAGTCACAAAAACACAGAAAATATCACTTGATCGTCACCATAACACAGTTCAGTCTAAATATTAGTGCTGACCTCTCACTATATAAGAAAAACACCGATGATGAGTACAAAGCTGGCTGACAATAGTTAAGCCATGTGATGGTGGGTTTATGATCAACAAAGAACCAAACACACGGCTGTAGTGCCAGTTGTGTAGCGATGGAGGTAGGGCTGACAAGTGAAGGTAGAGATGCATCATGCATGGGGTCAAATATTGTTTCCTTATAAAACGTCACTGACTTGACATAGAAAAATATAATTTGCATTGCTGGAATCCTTGCAAGACAGCAGTTAACTTGAGTATAGCAAACCATAGTTTGTACTAGAGATAAAAGAAATTCAAACCAATGGATATTGATTGATATTCGATTGAGATTGTTAAAAAAATTTAATTGATCATATACAGTACTGCATAGAGAGATGATGTTAATTCATGACCATCATTAAAGCAGAACATTGCTGAATGAGACAATGTTTATCAAGGTTTACCTGTACTTCAGATCCAATGCATTAAAATCAGTGCTGCCAAATACTGTATAATCATTCTCAGTAACAAGGTGAAAACACTAAAAATGTTGACATATTTACCTTTAATACCTTAAAGATGTTAACTGTTAAATATCACTGATGTTGTTTATAAACCATCACCACAGCTACACACTGTTTATAAACCATCACCACAGCTACACACTGTTAATAAATACTCCTTAACTGGCATGGTTCAAACTATTTACATCTTAAATAAAGATTCATGAACTTCAGCTCACTTATACTCCTGATTATTGAACGCTACAACACCAAGCTCACTTATACTCCTGATTATTGAATGCTACAACACCAAGCTCACTTATACTCACTCCTGATTATTGAACGCTACAACACCAAGGTCACTTCTCTAATTATTGAACGCTACAACACCAAGCTCTTATACTCCTGATTATTGAGCGCTACAACACCAAGCTCACTTATACTCCTGATTATTGCATCTACAAGCTCACTTATACTCCTGATTATTGAGCAGCTACAACACTAAGCTAAGCTCCTTATACTCCTGATTATTGAACGCTACAACACAAGCTCTTATACCCCTGATTATTGAGCAGCTACAACACCAAACTCACTCCTGATTATTGAGCACAGCAACACCAGCTCACTTATACTCCTGATTATTGAGCGCTACAACACCAAGCTCACTTATACCCCTGATTATTGAGCGCTACAACACCAAGCTCACTTACTCACTCCTGATTACTGAGCAGCTACAACACCAACACTTATACTCTGATAATTGAGCCTCAACACACAAGCTCACTTGTACTCACTCCAGATTATTCGCCTACAACCCAAGCTCACTTAGACTTCTATTATTGAACGCTACAACACCAAGCTCACTTATACTCCTGATTATTGAACGCTACAACACCAAGCTCACTTATACTACTGATAATTGAGCAGCTACAACACTAAGCTAAGCTCCTTATACTCCCGATTATTGGCTACAAACTAAGCCCTTATACCCTGATTATTAAACACTATAACACCAAGCTCACTTATACTCCTGATTATTGAGCTACAACAAGCTTACTTATCTCCTCCTGATTTTGAGCGCTACAACACCAAGCTCATATACTCCTCATTATTGAGCAGCTACAACACCAAGCTCACTTATACTCCTCATTATTGCATGCTACAACACCAAGCTCACTTATACTCCTGATTATTGAGCGCTACAACACTAGCTAAGCTCCTTATACTCCTGATTATTAGGCAGCTACAACACCAAGCTCACTTACCCCTGATTATTGAGCGCTACAACACCAAACTCACTTATACTCCTCCTGATTATTGAGCATAACAACCAGCTCCTTATTCTCCTGATTATTGAGCAGCTACAACACCAAGCTCTTATACCCCTGATTATTGAAGCTACAACACCAAGCTCACTTATACTCACTCCTGATTATTGACGCTACAACACCAGGCTCACTTATACTCCGATAATTGAGCTACAAAACCAAGCTCACTTATACTCCTGATTATTAAACGCTACAATGCCAAGGTCACTTATACTCCTGATTATTGAACGCTACAACACCAAGCTCACTTATACGCCTGATTATTGAACGCTACAACACCAAGCTCACTGATACTCCTGATTATTGAACGCTACAACACTAAGCTAAGCTCACTTATACTCCCAATTATTGAAAGCTACAACACTTAGCCCACTTAAACTCCTGATTATTAAACGCTATAACACCAAGCTCACTTATACTCACTCCTGATTATTGAACGCTACAACACCAAGCTCACTGATACTCCAGATATTTGAACGCTACAACACCAAGCTCACTGATACTCCTGATAATTGAATGCTACAACACTAAGCTAAGCTCACTTATACTCCCGATTATTGAAAGCTACAACACTAAGCCCACTTATACTCCTGATTATTGAACGCAACTACACCAAGCTTACTTATACTCCTGATTATTGAACGCTACAACACCAAGCTCACCTATACTCACTCCTGATTATTGAACGCTATAACACCAAGCTCACTTATACTCCTGATTATTGAACGCTACAACATCAAGCTCACTTATACTCCTGATTATCGAACGCTACAACATCAAGCTCACTTATACTCACTCCTGATTATTGAACGCTACAACACTAAGCTCACATATACTCACTCCTGATTATTGAATGCTACACCAAGCTCACTTATACTCCTGATTATTGAAACTACAACACCAAGCTCACTTACTGTATATTCCTGATTATTGAACGCTACAAAACCAAGCTCACTTATACTCCTGATTATTGAACGCTACAACGCCAAGGTCACTTATACTCCTGATTATTGAACGCTACAACACCAAGCTCACTTATACTCCTGAATATTGAACGCTACAACACCAAGCTCACTTATACTACCCTGATTATTGAACGCTACAACACCACAATCACCTATAATTCTTAATTATTGAACGCTACAACACCAAGGCTTCACTTATACCCTGGATTACTGAAAGCCAAACACCAAGCCCACTTATACCCTGATTATTGAACGCTAAGCAACACCAAGCTCACTTATACTCCTGATTATTGAACGCCATAAAACCAAGCTCATTTATACCCTGATTATTAAACGCTACAACGCCTAAGGTCACTTTATAATTCTGATTATTGAACGCAAACACCAAGCCTACTTATACTTCTGATTATTGAACGCTACAACACCAAGCTCACTGATACTCCTGATTATTGAACGCCATAAAATACCAAGCCTACGAGCTCACTCCTGATTATTGAATGCTAAATAATTCAAGCTCACTTATACTCCTGATTGTTGAACGCTACAACACCAAGCTCACTTATACTCCTGATTATTGAAAGCTACAACACCAAGCTCACTTATACTCCTGATTATTGAACGCTACAACACCAAGTTCACTTATACTCACTCCTGATTATTGAACGCTACAACACCAAACTCACTGATACTCCTGATTATTGAACGCTACAACACCAAGCTCACTTATACTCCTGATTATTGAACGATACAACACCAAGCTCACTTATACTCACTCCTGATTATTGAACGCTACAACACCAAGCTTTCTGATACTCCTGATTATTGAAAGCTACAACACCAAGCTCACTTATACTCCTGGTTATTGAAGCTACAACACCAAGCTCACTTATACTCCTGATTATTGAATGCTACAACACCAAGCTCACTTATACTCCTGATTATTGAATGCTACAACACCAAGCTCACTTATACTCACTCCTGATTATTGAATGCTACAACACCAAGTTCATGTAAGACAAAGGGGTCCTCTGGTGCTATTTCTAAAGCTTCTTTGAAGAATTTTTCAGCAAATTTTGGGTTGTTGGTGAGGCCGTACTCCATGCCGATGTAGAGGAGTGGTAGATGACAGCCCTTCATGAGCTGAGCTGCCTTGAAGTACGCCGCCATGGCCTGGTCGTGTTCATTCTCCGCAGCAAATGAGTGACCGTAAGCTATCCACGCTGGGCCAAACACTCTGTCTAGTGCTGTGGCCTTGCTCAAGTACCTGCGTGCCTGCTCGTTCTTACCTACAAGTACAAGATGTAAAACTTCTGTCATTTATCAATAATTTACATAAGAAAAAATAAAATGCATATATACATTTCATAAATTTGGGAAGAATTTTATAAAGTTCAATTAAAAATGAGTTAATTACCTATAAGATAATAGTAACAGCCAACAGCGAACCAAGCGAGGGCACTCTCTGGGTACAGGTCCACTAACTTGTGAGCCAGCAGAAACAATGCTGAAACACACATTAAAACATATATATTGAGCATTACAAAACAATAACACGTGGTACTGTGTGTGTGTGTGTGTATTAGACCAGTTCAGAGTGCAACCAGGTGAACCCTGCCCAGCTGAGGGAGGGGTTCTACTTTCCTGTTAGTAAGATTTTTCACCGATTGACTGAAGAGATGTGGTGTTGTATGAACCAAGGTGGGAAGATTTGATGAACCAGATCGACCACCGACCAAAGTGCGGATGCTGGTCCCACGTAGTTAGTCATCAGGGGCACCCGTGTGTGTGTGTGTGTGTGTGTGTGTGTGTGTGTGTGTGTGTGTGTGTGTGTAATAATAATAAATAAATAATAATTAACGGTTTATTGAACCAGAAGGCTCTGTGTGTGTGTGTGTGTGTGTGTGTGTGTGTGTGTGTGTGTGTGTGTGTGTGTGTGTGTGCTTTGTGTGATGTGTGTGTGTGTGTGTGTGTGTGTGTGTGTGTGTGTGTGTGTGTGTGTGTGTGTGTGTGTGTGATGTGTGTGTGTGTGTGTGTGTGTGATGTGTGTGTGTGTGTGTGTGTGTGTGTGTGTGTGTGTGTGTGTGTGTGTGTGTGTGTGTGTGTGTGTGTGTGTGTGTGTGTGTGTGTGTGTGTGTTTGTATGTGATGTGTGTGTGTGTGTGTGTGTGTGTGTGTGTGTGTGTAATATGTATATATAATAGTGCGGTTTATTGAAAGAGCTTGGCAGCCAGGAGGCTGAAAATATACAGTTACATATTTGGGGAATGGGTTACGAATTACAAATAATATACAAGTGACATAAGTGACACAAATAAGACATATAGTAACTTAGATGGGGATCAGCTCAAACTACAGTTCATTTCAACATAGTGACAGTGTAGGGAGCAGTGTTTACTGGGAGTGAATACACTGATTTATTACATGTTATTGATAATTTTTACAATGGTTGGGACTGGGCTGTTCTTATAGCGATCAGTTAATGCGTGCGTGTGTGTGTGTGTGTGTGTGTGTGTGTGTGTGTGTGTGTGTGTGTGTGTGTGTGTGTGTGTGTGTGTGTGTGTGTGTGTGTGTGTGTGTGTGTGTGTGTGTGTGTGTGTTTGTATGTGATGTGTGTGTGTGTGTATGTGTGTGTGTGTGTGTGTGTGTATGTGATGTGTGTGTGTGTGTGTGTGTGTGTGTGTGTGTGTGTGTGTTTGTATGTGATGTATGTGTGTGTGTGTGTGTGTGTGTGTGTGTGTGTGTGTGTGTGTGTGTGTGTGTGTGTGTGTGTGTTTGTATGTGATGTGTGTGTGTGTGTGTGTGTGTGTGTTGTGTGTGTGTGTAATTGTGTGTGTGTGTGTGTGTGTTGTCACGTCACATGGGAGTGAGGCAGGTTTGTAAATGATAATACAGTGACCCCTCGTTTAACGAACACCTCGGTTAACGTAATTTCGATTAACGAACTGCATTCCATAAGGATCTTCAATTCGGTTAACGAAAAAAAATTCGCTTAACGAACTTCTTACGAACCGACCTCAACATGTTTTCGATTGCACTGACCGGGCAACCAGCTTTAGTATCAGTCCGCCAATACATTAATCGGTTCTAGGGCTTAAATTCCTTACTATTTTTGTAAATATCAAGAAGTTTATACTATTTAATAATTTTAAAAGTTTAATATTCAATTTTTTAGTCATTTTAACAATTATTGAACAAAATTGAAGGAAAAGTGACTAGTTTAATGCGCGGCATCCAGCCTCTTAACACAGCAAACAGGCGTCAGTCTCTCTCTGTTTTCAGTGGAGGTAACATCTTGCTTGAGACTCTCTTCAACTAAACGCTTTTTTTCTGTGTTTCCAAGCAAATTATTGGTCATTTTGAAATATATTTTATATATTGACAATATATAATGCAGTGCAGCGTTGATTTAAAGAAAATAATCTTGAATTAAACCAGAGCTAAAATTTTATGGGTGAAATGGCACCATGGGGTGACTTCTCTTCCACCCCAATGCCTTCTCTTCTTCCTTCTCCTCCACCCCCATTCTAAATCCCATCATCATCATCATCATCCAGGAGCCTTCTACATACACACCTCAAAGTAAGTGAACTTTTCTACCATTTTTGTTGAATTTAGGAAATTTTCGGTGAGCTGGAACCAATTACCCAAAAACCCATTGAAACAATGGTTTCGGTTAACGAACGTTTCGGTTAACGAACGTCCTTCTGGAACGGATTGAGTTCGTTAACCGAGGGGCCACTGTAATGTTAAAGTATTATTAAATGTTATGTAGGTTACTTACTGTTGGCCTGTTTGAGCTCCACCAGGCACGACACGTGGATGGGCAGACAGCCTGTGTGGTACGGATCTTTCTTTAGCACTCTGGAAGACACAAACTCCTCTTATTATCATCAACCTGGAAGAAGTGGCTGACTCGGTATGTAAGTTCACAGAAGACAGTCTTCTCGGTCCTCCGTCCCATCCGTGAACCCTGGGACTCGTGACGTATAGATTACATACCCCCTTACAAGCAGACAGAGAGAGGTTCGCCTAGTTCACAGTTTCACACAGTTCACCAGTTCACAGCCAGACACCGTACCAAAGAGACGTGTGTGAGCATAGCTCCCAAGGCTGTATCTCGTTCTAATTATATCAGCAAATTACAAGCTAATAGCTAATGCTCAGTAGTCTGTCAACAAACAATTCTGTAACTACCAGAGCATCCAATATAACTAGAAAATCACCACGTGTGTTTACATTAAACCAAGGAACCACAAATGAAGATAACAGAGCCTGTGTACACTTGGGTCTACTTACAAGCTAAGATAATTACAAGTGTAACCCAGGTTGGCTGGGACGGCTCAACGACTTAAATCTACGACTGTACCAAAGGTGACACGCCGTGAGATTACCTATTATCTCACCCAGCTTCATCAAAGGTACCAGCGACTACCCTACACTCATTCAGGCAAGTGTTAACAAGTGAGATCATTTGATATCAAACCCCGGCCCAAACAATGGTGGCAGCGGTGGGTACAGTACAGTATAGAGTACAGTACAGTATAGAGTACAGTACAGTACAGTATAGTACAGTACAGTATACAGTATAGTACAGTATACAGTGCAGTACAGTATACAGTGCAGTACAGTATACAGCATAGTACAGTATACAGTACAATACAGTGTACAGTGTACAGCATACAGTACAGTATACAGTATAGTACAGTAAACAGTACAGTACAGTATACAGTATAGACGAGTATACAGTGCAGTACATTATACAGTACAGTACATAGTTCAGTACAGCATAGTATGCAGTACTGTACAGTATACAGCATACAGAATAGTACATTATACAGTACAGTACTGTATACAGTACAGTACAGTATACAGCATAGTACACTATACAGTACAGTATACAGCATAGTACACTACAGTACAATATACAGCATAGTACACTATACAGTACAGCATAGTACACTATACAGTACAGTATATAGTATAGTACAGTATACAGTATAGTACACCAAACAGTACAGTATACAGTAGAGTACATTAAGCAGTACAGTATACAGTATAGTACACCATACAGTACAGTATACAGTAGAGTACATTAAACAGTACAGATATAGTACACTATACATTACAGTATACAGTAGAGTACACCAAACAGTACAGTATACAGCATAGTACACTATACAGTAGAGTATACAGTATAGTACACTATACAGTACTATACAGTATAGTACTATACAGTATACAGTATAGAACACTATACAGTACAGTATACAGTAGAGTACATTAAACAGTACAGTATACAGTACACTATACAGTATAGTACAGTACAGTATACAGTATAGTACACTATACAGTACAGTATACAGCATAGTACACTATATAGTACAGTATACAGTAGAGTACATTAAACAGTACAGTATACACTATACAGCATAGTACACTATACAGTATAGTACACTATACAGTACAGTATACAGTATAGTACACTATACAGTACAGTATACAGCATAGTACACTATACAGTAGAGTACACTATACAGTACAGTATACAGTATAGTACACTATACAGTATAGTACACTATACAGTACAGTATACAGTAGAGTACATTAAACAGTACAGTATACAGTAAAGTACACTATACAGTATAGTACACTATACAGTACAGTATACAGTATAGTACACTATACAGTACACTATACAGTATAGTACACTATACAGTACAGTATACAGTAGAGTACATTAAACAGTACTGTATACAGTAAAGTACACTATACAGTACAGTATACAGTATAGTACACTATACAGTACAGTATACAGCATAGTACACTATACAGTACAGTATACAGTAGAGTACATTAAACAGTACAGTATACAGTAAAGTACACTATACAGTATAGTACACTATACAGTACAGTATACAGTAGAGTACATTAAACAGTACAGTATACAGCATAGTACACTATACTGTATAGTACACTATACAGTAGAGTATACAGTATAGAACACTATACAGTACACTATACAGTATAGTACACTATACAGTACAGTATACAGTAGAGTACATTAAACAGTACAGTATACAGTA